ATTTTCATTAATTGGAGTCCTATCAAATTGGTATCAGAGCATCGATCTTAGAGCAATGGCAAGGGGTTACAGATTGGATTCAGTAGGTAGACTAGATATAGAAATATTCTATGATGGCGATCCAGATTGGTGGCTGAAGAAAGCTGATGAAATTTTCGCAAGGAACCAACTGTCAGAGAGGGAAAAAGTGGAAGCAGCAACTGCATGTTGGTTGGGTGAAGCTTGGGATTGGTTTCAGAAGGTCGATCGAGAACAACCTGTGCAAACTTGGAGAGAATTGAAAGGCTTGATGATCGACAGGTTTCGACCATCTCAGGAGGGACATCAGCTAGAGGTACAGGAAGGTCTGGAATCAGAAATGGAGAAGGTGATGTCTCACATGTTGGAGAAGTTCGATTCCAAGATAGAAAAAGTGCGACGAGCAGCGGTGGAAAAAGGTCCAGCAACTGCATTGCCTGAAACCACCTTGAATTCTGAGATTTTACCAAAATTGGAGGCAGCTGGAGTAAATACCTGGTTCACGCACCGCTGGGAGGAATCGGACAAGAAGGAAAAGGAGGTCTCAGTCACTTCGTCAGAGCCCACCATTAGTTTTGAAATCCCACAAAAAATTGAAGAAATCGAAATGAGTGACGAGCATCGGAATCACAGGGAGAAATTAGGGAAGGCGGGTGTGCGAAGTCATCAACTCGAGTTGCCGATTTCTGAGTTACTTGCAGTCCAGTTGCTTAAACCTGAGGGCCTTGAGCAGATTAGGGAAATGGCTCTTAGGGTGGAGGGAATAAATAAGATAATCAGGTTTGGCCCAACTAGCCTTGGCCCATATAGATCTAAATTCAACCCACTAAGCTCTACAGCATATCCAACCCAACAATACACCCCCATTCAGAAACATTCTACTCACGTAAACACCATTCCAAACCGCACTAAATTCATCCCAAAATCAGCCACCTCTACCCTTGAAATTCCGACAAAATGGGATGAAATTGCAGCTCCGTTGCAGGCAAGAGGGACGACCCAAGCTCCGTACGGTGGCCAGCAAGCTCCGGTGGAAGCTTCCAAGCCATCGAAAGTCGCGACCCAGCGCCCAGAGCCACCGACCATGGCGGCGCCGCCGTTTAAACTGCCGACAGACTCCGATCTGGAGTCGAAGAAGGAAAGAAAGATAGCAGAAAACTCACCAGAGACAGCGATTTTCAAAATCACGGATGGATTCGCTAAACATCACAGGCGGAATTTGGAGATTCCAACACCAGCCATACTCGATTCCATGAATCAGAAGAGGGTGAGGCATGGGCATGCCGTGAGAGAAGAAATTCCTCGACGAGGCGCTTCATCACGAGATGAGGAAGGAGGCTTGGTTAATGGGCTGATTCAAGGAAAGAGGGTGGAAGAGCTGTCACTACATTTAGTGGGTCTGGATTGTGGTAGAAATATGGCCCAACAAGTAAACT